TTGTGATGATGTGTGAGGATCTTTATAGCTTCAAGCTCAGATTCCACATTGAGATAATAATAGTGACTAACTCAGAGGGTTAAATTACATAATGCATGACAGGCACACTGTGAGGATTCAATAAACAGCAAGTATTATATCAGTATTAATTTCTCCCTGAAATCACAGAAGATTCTGTGTGCCACATCTCTAATATCATGTAAGTTTCTGCTCTTAAGTAGCTCCCTTGGGAGAGAAATGTCCTATTGCACCAGACTTGGAAGAACAATTTGAACAACCAGCTCACCATGAAGAAGTAAGGGTGATTTATCTGATTCAGGACCTGAATGTTGTCTGTGGTCACTGACTGAATCCTGGAGCACCAAGCCAGTGAGAAGAGCCAAGGTTCATTGACGATGTATATGTTGATGTTGATGTTCGCTGCTTTATATTCTCTGGGAAGAAAAAGAACCCATAGAGGGGTTAGACTTAATCTCATATTCATCATCTAAAAGGGAAACAGCCACCATATTTGTGAAAGGCTGTTGCTTCAATCACTAGAAGCTAGTATTATTATAACTTTGGCTTATCACTTCATGTTTTCTACATAATTTAAGAAACTACTTGCACTTTAAAGAATTATTAGTTTATATTTTGGGGGGGGCACATATTGCATAAAGATGTAATTTTCTGACATCAACAACCAAAAGGGAAAGGAATGAAGCTGTCTAGGAGCAGAGTTATTGCATATTATTGAATTTAAGCTGGTATAAATTCAATCACAGTGTCATAACTTTTGAATGGTAAATGTAACTCCTATGGTAATCACGAAGAAATCAGGTACAGAATATATACAAAAAGAAATGAGAAAAGGATTTAAATGTTTCACTATAAGAAACAACTAAACACAAAAGAAGATGAATGAAATACGGGACGAAAAAGCTGTAAATATAGAAATAACAAAGTAAAATAACAGATGTGAGAGACAAAATAACAAATATTTACCAAGTAACAACATGACAATAATCCCCCCTTATTACTAATTATTTTCAGTGTAAATAGATTAAATTCTCCAATCAAAAGCCAGAGACTGGCAGAATGGATAAAAACAGATAACCTAACTTTATGCTGTTTATGAGAGACTCATTTTAAATCCAAATTAACACATAGATTGGAAGTGAAAGGATAGAAAAGTTATTCCACACAAACAGTAACCAAAAAGAGAAGGGGTGGCTATACTAATATCAAACAAAATAGGCATTACATAAATTTTAAAAATTTACAAGTGACAAAGGAGATTATGTATTAATAAAAGTTTCAATATAGCAAGAAGATACGATAATTATAAACACGTGCCTAAAGACAGACCAGAAAAATTTACAAACACTGACAGAACTGAAGCTGTAAAATAATAGTTGGAGATTTTAATATCCTACTCAACAATGAAGAGAACAACTGGAAGATAAGTAGGGAAATGGGACTTAATCAGCACAAGAAACTAACTGTATCTAATACATACACAGAACACTCAGCCCAACAGTATGCACGTTTTTCTCAAGTGTACATATGATGATTCCCAGGATAGATGATATGTTAGGCCACAAATTAAGTCTCAATAGATTTAAAAAGATAGATATCATACAAAGTATTCTATCCAACAACAAGATAAAGTTTTAGAAGTCAATAATAGAAGGAAAACTGGAAAATTCACATATTTGTGGAACTTAAACAACATACTTTCAAGCAACCAATGGATCAAAAAAGAAATCACAAGGGAAATGAGAAAATACCTCTATGTGAAGGAAAACAAAAACACCAAAACTCATGGGATGCAACAAAAGTGCTAGGGGGGAAATGTATAGCTATACATTCAAAAACCAAGAGAGACCTCAAATCAACAACTTAATGAACTAGAAGAAGAAGAACAAACTGACCCAACATAGCAAAAGGAAGAAAATAAAAGATTAGAGCAGACATAAACAAACAAAGAACAGAAAACCAGAGAAAAATCAAAGAAACCAAAAGTTAGTTATCTGAAAATATCAAGAAAATTGGTAAGCTTTTAGCTAGAAGTACTAATTTAAAAAGGAAAAAAGACTCAAATTTCTTTTTGTTTTTTTTTTGGTCAAATTTCTGAAATGAGAAATGAAAGTGGGCACATTATTACCAATTTAACAGAAATAAAAGGATTATAAGGAAGAACTATGAGCAACTGTATCCCAAAAAATTGGATAACCTGATGAAATAGACAAATTCCTAGAAACAAGAAACCTACCAAGACTAAATCAAAAAGAATTAGAAAATGTGAATAGACCTATAATGAACAGGAAGACTGAATCATTAACAAAACTCTTCAACAAAAAAAAAAAAAAAAAGAATTCCTGGACCCAATAACTTTACTGGTGAATTTCATCAAATATTCCCAGAAGAACTAATACCAATCCATTAGGATGGCTATATCAAGAAACCAGAAACCAATAAGGATGTGTCAACACGGAGAAATTGGAACATTTGTGGCCTGTTTTTACAGCTGCTGTGGAAAACAGTATGGTGGTTCCTCAAAAAATTAAAAATGGAATTACCACATAATCCATCAAATGCACTTCCTAGTATGTACCCAAAAGAATTGAAATGAGGATGTTGAAGAGATATTTGTATACCATGTTCATGGTAGTACTATTCACAATAAAATGTGGAAGCAACCCAGGGGTCCATCGTCCAATGAATGGATAAGCAAATTGTGGTACATACATACAGTGGGTTTTTATTCAGCCTTAAAAAGGAATGAAATTCTGCAATGGATGGATTCAGCATAGATGAACCTTGAGGACTTCATCACAGGTGTAATAAGTCAGTTGCAAAAGGACAAATACCATATGATTCCACTTACATGAATCAAAATCACAAACATAGAAAGTAGAATGGTGGTTTCCAGAGTCTGAGGGAAGAGAACTAATGGTGGTCCATTGTTTAACAAGGATAGAATTTGAGTTTATATGATGGAAAGAGTCAGGTAGATGGACAGCAGCGATTGCTGCATGATGTAATTAATGAATGTATATTAAAACCACAAAGTTGTATACATAAAAATTATTGCAAAAGTAAATTTGATGTGTATTTTAACATAATTAAAACATTTTTAAAGAGAGGGAAATCTGAATAAAATACAAACTCTTGGTTAAACAATTATGTTCAGACATGTAGACCAATGGAATAGAATAGAGAGCCCAGAAATGAACCCACAAACTTTTGGTCAAACAGTAATTATAAGAAAGCCAGT